GGGGTCTTCCAGCCGCGGGGCGCGTGGCAGCAGCGGCGCCCCGCCGAGAGCGTTGCGGAGGTGCCTGGGGGCCGAGTGATGGCCCGAAAACCTATGTTCGAGTCAGGGGCAATGCGGGGTACAGGTTCCCCAGACATGATCGTGCCGCAGGAAAATCAGGACGGGAGGCTTTTGGCTATCTTCGGCCCCGGGGGGCCCTCGCCGGGCCTCGGGACCGTCAAGAAACGACTCAGGACGAGAAACCGGTCCCAGGGAAAGGGTCGGGACCTCCAGGGACGCCGTCCTGAAAAAAATCAGGACGTCGCATGTCTGGGGGTATAGGCTCAGGGGGGATGCATCGACGCCCTGTTGCCCACTCGTCGGCGATGCGGGCCCGATAGCCCCACCCCACCCAGGACCGTCCAGATTCGCTGTCGGGGGCCTGTCGCCGATCTGTCGGCGATTTTTCGCCGATTCAAGCTCGACGTTTCCCCTCCTGGGCTGGTCCTCCCTCCTAACGTTGCCCCTTCTCCCTCCGTCCCCGACGTCTTCGCGCGTGACAGTGACGGCATTTGGCTTTGGATTTAGGCCATGTCATTTACATTGCAGCATTCCCCACACACACACATGCTCCGCGTGCGGATCATATATTAAACATGCAGGGATTTAGTATTAAAGACAACGATGAGTTCATGCATACATGTATTCCTAAATTAATCATGTATTAGAAATCCTATAGTTTAAGATCCTATGTATTAAATACTGCCCTGTCATCTCGCTGGAGTCCGAAGAGAAACGCTGTCAGACAGCACCACGGAATAGTTTGGCAAGCTTCGGCCCCCACACTGGGCCCTCAGCGGGTCCCCCTGGGCCGTCGGAGCACGGCCCCTCGGGAAGGGGCCGGCCGGTCCCAGGGGCTCGAGGCGTCGGGGGGTCCAGCCTGAGATAAAGGTGCGACGTCGGAGGTTCGAGTAGGGGGTCGGCTGCAGAATCGGTGGGGCCTTCTCGGCGAGCCCAGGAGGCAAATGCATCGAAAGTTCGTCGATCTATCGGCATTCTACGTACTTTTGCTGGCGGGGTCGAGGAGAAAGCACATGCTGTGGTACATCACCTGTGGCGCCCAAGGCCTGGATAGCGGAGCAGTCCGGCACGGCGAGTCCAGAGCGTTTGCAAGCTTGTGGGGACGCTTGCAGGCGAGCTTGAAAGGCTGCCCGGGAAGCTTGCTGCACTGAAGTGGGAACTGCGCAGGAGCCCATGAAGCGCTGCGCAGGAGCTGCGCAGAGGCTTGCGGCACACGCGCTGGCAAGGCGCAGGAAACTGCTGCTGTAAGATTTATCCTCGTCCCCGAGGAAGGAGGAGGAGGGCGAGGAAGGGGAGAACCAGGACGAGGAAGGGGAGGAGGAGGGCGAGGAGGGGGAGGGGGAGAGGGGGAGGAGGGAGACTTTACCCTCGCCCTGCGGCCCCGTCCGACTCTGGGACGGGCCGCCCCCTCGCAGGACTCCCCTGGGGAGCAGCAGGGTTCTGCAGCCGATCCCCCCCCTTCCTCGAGAGGCCCCGGGGTGCGCACGGCGCGCGCGCGCACGCCGCGCGCGCGCCGCCGGGGGAGCTGCTGTGTGCTGTGTGCTGTGTGCTGTTGCGAGCGTGTCCTTAATCAGCGAGCGAAGAACGGTATAAAATAAATTTTCCGCCGTCGGGGACACCTGCCCTTGGGCGGCTGGAAAGTTTATACCCCTACGGTGCCACCGTAAGGGTATAAACTTTCCAGCCGCCCTGGGGCAGGTGTCCCCGATTGCGAAAAAGTTTATGTTATACCGTTCTTCGCCCGTTAACTTAAGGCCGCCCTCGGCTTTGGCGAGGCGCTGGATGTCGGGGCCCTCCTGTTCCTCACGCTGCCCCCTCTGTTGCGTTGCATAATTGGGGGGGCTCATTTGTCGTTGGTGTCTTTTCCTGTGCCCGACGCGTGCTCGATACGGACCCGACGCGGATTCAGCGTGGATTCGGCACGGATTCGGGATTCGTCCGGACAGACAGCCCTGAAATGCAAGACAACAAACACCAACAGCATCGCTCAATCACAACCAGAGCCCCTGACCCCCTCTTTCTGCGTCATCTTATCTGAGCCGGACCGATTTGTGAGGGCCCCGAAGTTTGAAGATTGGAGCAGATGCGCGGTTCAAAAAACAGAGGCGCGGATCTTAGGGAAGGCCCCTCGGACGGGGCTTCGACGAAGATCAATCCGTTCCAGAACGCTCGCCACGGCGCCCGAGGCATCCTCCAGAGCCTCTGGATCGTAGACGTTCCCTAAGTATCCCCACCCGCGTTTGACCTCCTCCTGGCTTCGTCCTGTCTTGTCCCCCGAACCCAGACGTGCGATTTCCTCATGGTTTTTTTTTCACGGGGTCCCTCTAAAATCCCGGCCCTTTCCCCTGGACTGGCTCTTCATCTTGAGTCGTTTTTTGACTGTCCCATGGCCCGGCGCAGAGGCAGAAAACGACGAATAACCTCCCGTCGTGTCTTTTCAATACGCGAGCATGCTAAGTCTGGTTGAATCAAAGGGGGTGCAGCGAAAAGAGAGTGGGATTGCAAGACATTTGGGGTGTGCACTACATCCCAGTGAGCAAATGTATTGCTGAACTTCCGCGTGCCATGCAGTAATTATTTGCAATACATTGCGATACAATCCTCGGCCGCAGTACATTTGCAGTGCAAGCGCCCCAAGTGTATTGCACCACCCCCTTTGAGCTTGACCCCCTGTTTGGGTCAGGATGAGGAAGAGGAGGAGGAGGGGAGGAGGAGGAGGAAGAAGAGGATCAGGAGGAGCAGGAGCAGGAGGAGGAGGAGGAGGGGGAGGAGGAGGGGGAGGAGGGGGGAGAGGAGGAGCAGGACAGGAATCTGCAGCATAGCCTCGGCCCCCGCGCCGCCGGCTCGAACAGCCCCCCCCGCGCCCGCCGGCCGCCGGATCGCGCACGCGTCCGGCGGCAAGGGCGGCGGCCGCGGCGATGTGGGCCAGGAGGCCGCCACGCGCTGCCATTCCGCCTCCCAGACAGCCTTTGCGAAAAAGTCACGACGAGAGGTTTTTCGCTATGTTCGGCCTCTCGGGGCCCTCAACGGGCCCCAGGACCATCAAAAAACGATTCAGGGTGAAAAACCGGTGCTGAGGAAGGGGTCAGGACCTCTGGGGGTCAACGTTGTGGAAAAATCAGTGCGTTGGGGGTCTGGGCTCCCGAGCTCCCCAGAGGTCTGCGACTTCGTGTCTCATCATCGACTCGCAGACGCGCCTACGACGACGACAACAGAGACGACGATGACGACGACGACGACGACAACGACCATAACGACCACAGAGACGACGACGACGACCACACGACGACGACCACGAAGACGACGACCACGAACATGACCACGACCACCACCACCACGAAGACGACCACGAAGTCGACCACGAAGACGACGACGAGGTCTACGACTTCGATTCCAGACATGCTTGCGTCGTGAAGAACTCACAGCGTTCGGCTGTTGGTCCTTTTCGGCCTCCAGGGGCCCTCGTCGAGCCCTGGGACCGGCGAAAGACGACTTTGGCAGAATAACCCGTCCCGGGATGTGGGTTGGGACCTTTGGGGACACCGCATTGAAACATTCAGGACAACGCATGTCTGGGTGTCCATCTTTCTCCTCGCCCCGCTGCTTGTCCGTCGTGCGTCCTCCTTCTCATGCCTCTCCTCTCCCAACGCCCCCCTCCCCCATCCTTCTGCCTCGCCCTCCTCCCTCCTTCCTCTTTCTCATCTTTCTTCCTCCTCCCTCTTCCCTCCTCCGCCTCCTCCTCCTCCTCCTCATCCTCCTCCTCCTCCTCCTCCTCCTCCTCCTCCTCCTCCTCCTCCTCCTCCTCCTCCTAGGTGGCTCCAGCGCCGCGGCCGTTTGCGTTCCCCTCGCGCGGCCCGTCGCTCAGCCCCCAGTCGCCAGGCGTCCTCCTGCTGGGCCCTGGCGCACTCCTCACGAAGGGCGCCTGCGCCGCCCCGCTTCGCGAGGTGGGCGCGACCTCGCCCTCAGCCCGCAGGCCGCGGCGGGCTGCGACTGCCGCGGTCTGACATGCGCAGCGGGCGGCCTGCGCGCTCACCGCAACGCTCGGGACGTTGCCTTGCGTGCGGACGGTGCAGCCGCCCATCGAGCGCATCGCACACCTGTCGGCGGCGGATGGCGCGCAGTTGGCTGGCCGGGTTATCCTGGACTGCTTTGGCGACGCGTCCGCGGCTCACACGGCCCCTGACTCATGCCACATCCCTCGGGCATCCGCTGGGGGAGCCTTTCGCGGAGCCGCCATTGCAGCGTCTCGTGGGCAGCATGTTCCTCGCCCTGCTCATGGGCCTCGCGGGCGCCTGTTTCTGGGAGTCTCTGCTGCTCGTGCTGGTGCTTTGCTTCGTCGTGGTGTTCCTGGGCCTTGCGATCCTTGCAGTCGCACCAGTGTCTTTCTTCGCCCTGTACCTGGACCACGCGGGCGCGTGTTCAAGGCCTTTCTGCTGCTGGTCCAGACGCTCATCCTCGCCGCGCTGCTCGGGGCCTCCGTGGTGATGCGGACGCCGTCTTGCTACGTGGTGGAGCTGGTCCTGCGTATTGGGGGCTTCGCGGTCCGTGTCGCGGGGGTGATGAAGCGCTTCCTCGCCCTGTGCCTGGGCCTCGTGGGCGCGTGTTCAAGGGCGTTCTTGCAGCGGGTGCGGCTCCTCGACCAGGTCGTGACGATCTTCCTGGTCCTGCTGGCGTTCAAAAAGTGCGCGGATCTACTTCCTTGTACTGCGGATCTTCCTGGTCGTGCTGAATTCCTCGGAGGTTCGGCGGATCTTCCTGGAGGCGCGGTTCTTCGGCAATTTCGTGGCGAACTACCTGGTCCGTCGGATCTTCTTGGTCTTCCTGGTCGTCAGGTGCTTCCCGTTCCCGCGGATCTTTTCGGAGGCCCTGCTACGCTTCCTAGTGCGGATCTTCGACCAGTTCGTGGCGAACTTCTTGGTCCTGCGGTTCCCCCTTGTGGTTCGGATCCTCTTGACGTTCATAGGTGTGCGGATATCCTTCCTTGTCCTGCGGATCTTCGTGGTCGTGCTGATCCTTTCGGAGACCTGGCGGGTCTTCCTGGAGGTGCGGTTCTCCGACCCCTTCGTGGCGATCTTCCTGGTCATGTGGATCTTCATGGTCGTGCGGATTCTCTCGAGGGCCCTGCAGCTCCTCTTGTCTTCAAGCCCGACGGCGGCGTGGGGGTTGGCGGCAGCATCTCGGCCGCAGCCTCCTCGCCCTTCGATTTCTCGGCCCTGGAGGCGGCGTGGGCGGCGGCTGCGAATGAGCTCATCGGGATCTGTGTACACTCTTCTCGAGGGAGTGGTTTCGGTGGAGTTCCTGCGTCTTGCGGGAGGCACGGCCTGGCGGATAGCACGAGCTGTGCGGTCCCAGGTGACGCCGCACACCTCCGCTCCCAGGGAGTGGCTTCGGTGGATTCCCCTCGCTTTAGGGGGGCACAGCATGGAGGATAGTGCAGTGCATAGCGCTGTCCCAGGTGATGCCGCAAACCTGTCTGGAGCTCTGGGCTGACGCTTTCTCTGCGCCAGCCCAGTTCCTTTTACCCTTCATTCTTGGGTCCCGAGATCCCTCGGGTGGGGGGGGGCGCGTCACTGACGGACTCCGAGGCGGGCGTCTGGCCCTGTCTCCTTTTTTTTTCTGTGTCGGGAAGTGCACTGCGCGCCCGCTCCAGCTAGTGTCGTATCGTATCCTCCTCCTCCTCCTTCTCCTCCTCCTCCGCCTCCTCCTCCTCCTCCGCCTCCTCCTCCTCCTCCTCACCTCCTCCCTCCTCCCCTCCTCCTCCTCCTCCTCCTCCTCCTCCTCCTCCTCCTCCTCCTCCTCCTCTTCCTCCTCCCTCCTCACTCTTCCCTCTTCCCTCCTCCTCCGCCTCCTCTTCCTCCTCCTCCTCTTCCTACCTCCTGCTTATCGGCAACGCTCAGCGCACCATACCCTGACGTCCCCGGATCTGCGACTCCCGGCTCTCGTGCACGGCGTGGAGCCCCCGGACGTCTCGGCAGGCTCCAATGATGGCTGGCTGGCACAGCGGTAGGTGGCTCTCGGGGAGGCCGGTCGTCGCCGCGGGTGCGGTGCAGGCGGGCCCCGCGAGGGGTCCCGGGCCCGATTCTGCGTTGCCGGTGTTCCAGCTTGCCCTGCAGACCTAGTTCGGACAACGGCATGCTGGAGAGGAGGAGGAGGAGGAGGAGGAGGAGGAGGAGGAGGAGGAGGAGGAGGAAAGGGAGGAGGAGGAGGAAGAGGAGGAGGAGGAGGAGGAGGAGGAGGAGAAGGGAGGAGGAGGATGAAAGGGAGGAGGAGGAGGACAGGGAGGAGGAAGGGAGGGAGGAGGAGGAGGAGGAGGAGGAGGAGGAGGCGGAGGAGGAGGAGGATGAGGAGGGGGAGGGGGAGGGGGGGGGGGAGGGGGAGGGGGAGGAGGAGGAGGAGAGGAGGAGGAGGAGGAGGAGGAGGAGGAGGAGGAGGAGGAGGAGGAGCAGGAGGAGGAGGAGGAGGAGGAGGAGGAGGAGGAGGAGGAGGAGGAGTAGGACAAGCTAGGTGCGCTCGCGTGATGTCTGATTTCTTCCCCCTCCCTGTCACCCATGGCGTAAAGATCTTCTCTATCCGCACAGTGTGATGTCGTAGCGGGGCTTCGCATAGCTTAGTGTTGCAGATCAACGCGTAGCTTGACATAGCATGGTGTGACGACGCCCCTAAGTGTGGGGGAGGCTTCTGCGGCCCCAGAAATCAACGAATCGGCACCGAATGTGTAATCACTTCCGATGTTTGTTTCAGGGTGCATTCCCTAGATGTTGGGGCCGATTTGGAAGGACCGAAAACCATGCCGTGGTATGGCACTGGAAATACGCCAGCGCTGCAGCGGCAGCAGGAACGAGCGGAAGCGCGGAAATGAGGCCAGCGCTGCAGCGGCAGCACGATTCGGAGCGAGCGGTAGCCTGGAAATGAGGCCAGCGCGTCAGCGAGAGCAGCATTTTGATGAAAACAAACCCAAGCGAAACCCCGTTTCCCAGGAATCCTGTGTGTAAGATACAGTGTAAGAAAACAAGTACGCGTGGAGGGGGGCCGAATATATCCCGGACGTCACCAGGAGAGAGAGAGAGAGAGAGAGAAAACAAAAAGAGAGAGAGAGAGGAGAGTAGTTCGCATATTGTGCAACTGTGGAGGAAGAGGAGCAGCAGGAGGCGGAGCAGGAGGAGGAGGAGGAGGAGGAGGAGGAGGAGGAGGGGAGGAGGGGGAGGGGGAGGAGGGGAGGGGGCGATCGGAGCCATGCTCCGATCGCCCCCTTCCGCGGAGCACCTCTGGCCCCCCGACCTCGTCAGCTCTGCGACGTGGTGTGCTTTTCTCCACGACGAGGAGCCCCCTCGGCCCTGCCGAGAGCCGGGCGTGTGTCGCCCTGTCTCGGGCCCCGCGGGGCCCTGCAAGAGCGAACCGGCTCGAAGAATGACGCAGGGAGGTGCGTCAAACCAACGATATTGGGAGGAGGAGGAGGAGGAGGAGGCGGAGGAGGAGGAGGAGGAGGGGTCCGGGGCTCTGGCTGTGGTGTTCCACAAGGCTGTGCGTTTTCCCAAGCCATCCTGTGGTGCTGGGGCGTCGCTTTGAAGAGACGGTCCCCGCGTCCCTCTCCCCTTCCTCCTGTCCCGCCCTCCTCCTCTCGTCATCAGCATCGCCACCATGGTTTCGGCACACCCCTGGCGCAGCCCGCATGTGGGCGACAGCCCCGTTTTGGCACCCCCCTCACACGCTGCGTGGCCCCAGCAGGAGCTCCGCCAAAGGCCCCGGTGGCGCAGCCCGCATGTGGGCGACACCCCCGTGTCGGCACACCCCTCACACGTTTCGCGGCACCAGAGGGAGCTCCAACCAAGGCCCCAGTGTCGCAGCCCGCATGTGGGCGACGGCCCCGTGTCGGCACACCCCTCATACGTTTCGTGGTCCTAGAGGGAGCTCCAGCCAAGGCCCCAGTGGCGCAGCCCGCATGTGGGCGACGGCCCCGTTTCGGCACACCCCTCACACCTTTCGTTGCCCACGGGGAGCTCCACCAAAGGCCCCAATGCCACCACCCGCATGCGTCCCCCCCCCACACACACACACACACACACACACATTTCGGCACACCCCTCACACGCTTCGTGGCCCCCTAGGGAACTCCATCGAAGGCCCCAGTGCCACCTCCTGCATGCGTCCCCCACACACAAACACACACACACACACACATAATCTCTGGCGCACCCCACACGTTTCCTGGCCCCACGGGAAGCTCCACCGAAGGCCCCAGTGCCACCGCCCGCATGCGTCCCCCATACTATGTTCGGCACACCCCTCACACGCTTCCGGGCCCACTCGGGAGCTCCACTGAAGGCCCCAGTGCCACCGCCCGCAGGCGCCCCTCCCGCTCATTTCGCAAGACCCTCACACGCTTCCTGGCCCTAAAGGGAGGTCCACCGAAGACGGTACGTACGACTGCGGTTCTCATGACGGCATAGTACTGGTTGGGCCTTTCGCCAGGCCAATCTCGCCACGTCGGATCTCAGGGGAGACCGGAGATCTTGCATTGGTGGTCTTTGACTGTCCCGGGGCTTGGCAAGGGCACCCAGAGGCTGAATACGAGGAACAGGTTATCGTCGGCATTCTTTCACCATGCGAGGAGGTCTGGGTCCCCGACATTCGGAGGGTCGGGGCAAGGTGTGCCTTTGCTTCGGCATGCAGGGAAGGGCTTCCGGAGGAAACGGCTCCTGGGTTCGTTGGGCGCGAATTAATAGGGATTGATACATGCGGGGCCAGAAAAGGTAACCTTTCGGGGCCCCAGAGGCCCCTTTGGGGGCTCTAAGTGCCTCCTAAAGCTTTTGAGGGGCCCCAGTGACCCCCTTTGGGGGGCCTAAAGGGCTCATTTCTGCAGCCCTCGCTGCTCCCCCACTTATCGAAGCCAGCATCCAGACGAGAAGCCGGCCCTGGAGGAGGCCCCCGAGATTCGAGGACCCGTTCGCTGCAGGACCCGTTCCTTTCGGACCGCGCTCCGGCTCGGCGATCGACGTCCGATGCATACCCGCGCTGCTGCCCCCCAACGGGAGTAGGAGGAGGGGAGAGAGAAGGAGGAGGAGGAGGAGGAGGAGGAGGAGGAGGAGGAGGAGGGAGGAGGAGGAGATAGGAGGAGGAGAGGAGAAGGAGAAGGAGGAGTCGGAGGAGTAGCGGAGGAGGTGGAGTAGGAAGCAGTAGCAGAGGAGGCGGAGGAGGAGCAGGCGGAGGAGGAGTAGACAGGAGAGAGGAGAGGGCAGGAGAATGAGGATGAGTAGAGCGCGAGCGCACGGAGAGGAGGAGGAGGAGGAGGATGAGAGGACGTGAGGATGAGGGAAGGAGGATGAGGAGTAGGAGTAGGAGGAGGATGAGGAGAGGAGAGCGGAGGAGAGGAAGGAGAGAGGAAGAGGAGGACCGGAAGGAGAGGAGGAGGAGGAGGAGGAGCAGGAGGAGGAGGAGCAGGAGGAGCTGAGGTGCTCCTTTGGAGCCCGTATGGGGCCCGTCGGCGGCCTCTCTCCGCAGTCTTTCGGGGCCGCCTGGGCGGCCTCGGGGCCGCCTCGAGGGCGCCTTGTGGAGCCGCCCTGCCCTCCGGGAGCCGCCTCGGCCGTGCGGGGGGCGGCCATCGGCCGGTCCTGCAGCACGTCTTGGGGCCACGGGCCTGTCTCGGGCTGCCTCCTTCGTCTTCCGTCCTCCGTCCTCCTCCTCCTCCTCCTCCTGCTCCTCCTCCTCCTCCTCCTCCTCCTCCTCCTCCTCCTCCTCCTCCTCCCCTCCTCCTCCTTCATTCCTCCTCTTCCTCCTCCTGCCCCTCCACCTCCACCTCCTCCCCCCTCCTACTACCTCCCCCTCCTCCACTCCTTCCTCCTCCTCCTCCTCCTCCTCCCCTCCTCCTCCTCCTCCTCCTCCTCCCTCCTCCTCCGTCCTCCCTCCGTCCTCCTCCTCCTCCTCCTCCTCCTCCCTCCTCCTCCTCCTCCTCCTCCTCCTCCTCCTCCTCCTCCTCCTTCTCCTCCCTCGTCGCCGTCCCCCCTGGGGTCCTCTGGGTCCTGACCGCCTGGAAGGCGTCTGGCGAGGTCCGGGGGCCTCGGGGCTCTCTCGCGCGAGTCCTGGAGGGGGGGCCGCTTCGGGCAGGTCCTCCCCGCCACTGCAGCCAGAGCGACTCCATGGCGGGGACCGACAGCACGAGAGGACCCAGACATGTCCTCCCAATTCATTGTTTCGCCAGCCGGCGCGAAAATATCGTCTGTTCTTGCGATTATGTGAGTTGCTCGCATGGCAGGGACGAGTCGTTCTTGTGATTCGAGGGGGTGGTTCGTATGATACGAGTGAGTTGTTCTTGCGACAGCTGTTCTTCAGACAGCGCGCGTTGTTCGTGTGTTACGCTTGGGCCCCCCGTGTCAGGGATTTGGCCCCCCCCCCTGTGACAGGGAATTGACTGTGACAGGGAATTGGGCACACCCTGTGACAGGGGGGGCCAATAGCGCGGGCCCCCGCCAGCCTCTCTCCCTCCCCCCCCCCTCTAGGCCTGATCTTCGCTGTTTTGGGCGGCTGCTTTCTGGCGGCTGGCCAGGACCCGTCCGCCCAGACTGCTTGCGCGACGGGTAGAAGCAGGTCGTCTGAGCACTGGCCAAGACCCCTCCCCCCCCCCCTTCGGCCCAATGCCGAAAATCGGGATAAAACAACGCCTTCGTTCCTCTCCGTGGCCAATCTGTCTCAAGCCCGCCTCTTCTCGAGCACACGACCTTCTCCGCTAGATCGGCTCTCCGCTCGCGCGCTGGGCCAGCCACCGCGATGTCCTCCCTGGGGGCCCTGGCTCTGCTGATCGTCGCCCCCGCCGCCGCGGGCCTGAAGGTGGGCGATGGCGCGCACAACCTGACCATCTGCAACGGGTATGCGGAGGACAGGCCCCTCAGCGTCTACGCCGTCAACAGCAGGGCCAGGCTGACCGAGGAGCCGATGAGGTACAGGCAGTGCAAGGCCATCGCGATGGAGCTGCAGGATCCCCAGACATGAGCGCGTCGTAAAAAAAAGCAGGACGGGGGGGTTTTGGCTAGTTTCGGCCCTGGGGGGCCCTCGCCGGGCCTCGGGACCGTCAAAAACGACTCAGGACGAAGAACCGGTCCCTGTGAGATCGTCGGGAGTTCCAGGGACGCCGTCCTGAAGAACTCAGGACGTCGCCGCCCTGAAAAAAAAGTCGGGGCGCCTGCGGCAGCACAGGAATGGCCCTGGCCCGGGGCATCGCCGCCCACGATCCGGTGCGAGGCGATCCGATCCGCCGGCTGTGGCCACGATGTCGACCCGATTCGCCCGTCGATCCGCCGCCACGGTCAGGGCCAGCCGTAATTCGGAGATGTCCCTCTGCAGGAGGAGCATGAGAGAATAGTTTTGAAAATGCCAGGGGACGATTTTCCGTGCTCTTCAGACTATGCTTGATTCCCAACCATCCTGTGGTGTTGGGTCCTCGTTTTGAGGAGACAGCGCCCTGCGTTCCTCTCCTCCTCCTCCTCCTCCTCCTCCTCCTCCTCCTCCTCCTCCTCCTCCTCCTCCCCCTCCTCCTCCATAGAGAGCTCCTCCATAGGGAGCTCCATGAGAGAATAGTTAAAAAATGCCAGGGGACGAGTTTCCGTGCTTTTCAGATCATGTTTGATTGCTTTTTGGCTATCTTTAGCTCTCCTCCAGAATCCACCCGTAGGAGGACATGCCCGACAAAGGGCCAGCCGGAACAAGGCGCGGCGATCCGCTTCCGATTGGGCTCGGGACGATTCGCCGGCGTGCCGATGCGTTTCCCATCCGATCCGGTTCGGCGATTCGGCCCAGCTCGTTCTTGCGAGGTGAGCGACGCAGGCAGCAGGCTCAGCAAGGGGGGACATCAGCGCGCAGGGCAGGCTGCCAGGGTGTGGTCGCGCGTGAGCGCTCTCTCCTCGAGTGCCGCACCGGTGGCCTGCGTAGAAGCCACCGCGCGAGGTCGCCAATACGTGTCTCCGCGTGCGCAAGACATCTTTCAGTTCCTCGCTTGGTTGGCCCCATCTCAGGAGGAAAAGAAACACACAGACACAATAAATCTTCGATTCCCCAGAAAATATGGGAATATATGGGAAGTGGGGGGAAGACAGAAACCCAGAAAATATTGGAAAATATGGCGCATCTTTTTATTTGTGTGTATTTATTTGTGTGTCCTGGGGCCCCTTCACCATCGTTCCCGCCCATCCAGGGACCCTTGATCAGGGGAAACGCTTGGAGAGAATCGAGGCGATACAGAGGGGTCCGGGCGGACGCATCGGCCCCCACTCGCCCATCCATCGCCGACAGCCGCCCGATGGCCTACCCGCCCAGGGGCGTGCGGCTTCGCCCTCGAGGGGCTGTCGCCGATCTATCGGCGATGTCTTGCCGATTCCAGGTGTCGACGTCCCCGCCCCCGCCCCCGCCTATCGCACCGCTGCCCCTCGCTCGGGGGGCCCTGGAACTGGGGAGGGCTGCCCTGGAGGCATTTGGGAACCACATCCGCGGAGGGCATCTCTGGGGGGCCTCGGCGGTCGGGTTGCCCCAACAGGGGTTCCAGAGACAAGGGGGTGGTGGGATAGATGTGGTGCAATAGATTTGCGGGACTGCAGCACATTTGGGTGATGCAATACCTTCTGGGGCGCAAATGTATGGCTGGGCTCTCGCGTGCAAGACATGTGGGTCGTGAAATACCTTCCGGGGCGCAAATGATTGCTGGGCGAATTCGCGTGCAACACATGACTTGCAGTGCAAGGCAATACAGCTTTGCGGCGAAGCACATCTGCAATTATTACCATTGCCCCAAATCCGTTGCACCCAAATCAATTGCCACCCCCTTTCTCAATTGCCCCAGATCTACTGCACCCAAATCTACTGCACCAAGTCAACTGCCCCAAGGGGGTGGCAATACAATTGCCACCCCCTTGCAGCTAGACCCCCTTTCGCCCACGACTTCTACTCGCACGAGATGTGAGGCCACGGCCTCCTGCGCCATGCCCTAAAGGGCACGGGCACACCAGTGTGCCCGACTCCGGCGCCTTCGCCTTCGCCTTCGCTTTCGCCCTTGTGGGTCACCCAAATCCTGGTTCTGACGGCATCCGGCAGGAGGCGGCGACGCGCACTGCCATAGGGGCGCTCGAGGATGTGTGCGGGCTGGGCTCCTGTCGGGCCCCATGTAGCCTCCATGAGGCCTCTCCGGGGGCCTCTTCGGGACAGGGGAGAGGGGGGGGGGGAGGCGTTCCTCTTGCTCCTTCTCCTCCTTGAGGCAGTGGCGAAGCGTCCTGGCTCGCCTATAGCCCTGCCAAACAATGTTCTAAGAACTGTTCGTGGTTTCCACGAACTGTTCTTAGAACGTTTCTGGCTGAGACTGTCTTGTTTTAGCACATCGGGTTGATGTTATAAGAACATTGTTTTTGGTATTCTAACATTTTTGGGTTCTAAGAACATTTCGTGGTAGGACTATGAGAATGCCGGGACGGTCGGTCCCTGCTCAACTCCTGCCCCTGATCCTCTTCTAGACTCCGGATGTTCCCCCCGCCTGCTGCCATGCGAGTCTTGGCGGCGCGCAGGGGAGGATGTGGGGGAGGTGGGAAGGCTTCTAAGAAGCAGCCTTCTTCTAAGAAGCCGTCACCCCTCCCCCTACCCCCCTGTGCGTGCCGCCAGAGGAGGGCGAGCGATTAGATTTCAAGATGGGGGGCATCAGCGTGGGCGTCTTCCACGCGTCGCACCTGCCGTTCGTCGCCTCGACGCTGGTGCTCGTGCCGTTCAAGAAGGGCAACCACTCCATGGCCGCCACCTTCGCCTCCCACACGTTCGGGCCCGCCAGCGGCGACAAGGCGCAGATCGCGGTCATCGACGCCTATTCTGGAGACCAGCAGGGGAGCATGAGGATCAGGGTCGCCGGCAGGCAGAACCAGCGGTTGTCGAGGAACAACAAACGACATATAACATATAAACGTTCGGAGTTCCGCGCGGCGTTCTTGGAGCGGCACCAGACCCCTCCCTGGCGCGCGGAGCACGCCAGGGGCGGCGCCAGAGTCTCCGCCAGGGGGCCCAGCGCCGATCCGAGAACTCCGTGCGGAGCTCCAGCGCTTATTCGGCGGGCAAAGAATGGTATAAGATAAACTGTTCTGTCGCCGGGGGCGTTGACCCAGGGCGACTGGAAAGTTTCTACCTTGACGTGCGGCTGGAAAGGTTGTACCTTGACGTGCCACCGGAAGGGTAGAAACTTTCCAGGCGCCCGGGGACAGGCGAATCATCAGCGAATCGGAGACTTGGCGTGCCCCCGACAGCGAAACAGCTTCTGTTTTATCGTTCTTCGCCCGTCAATGGATGTCCAGCCCGTTCCTGCCTCCCTCCGGGCAGGAGGCCCAGCGCCGATCCCGGAAAAATCCGTGCGGAGCTCCAGCGCTTGCGCGTCCATCACCGCGTGCGCTCCACTGCTCGCAGTCGTCCGGAAAGCAGAGGCCCGCGTCGAGGAGATTCCTCGCAGATCCCCCGCGGCGGATGCGGAGGAGGAGGAGGAGGAGGAGGAGGAGGAGGATGAGGAGGAGGAGGAGGAGGACGGGGGGAGGCCCTCTGCGAGCATAGTTACTTTGCGAGGCTGGTCTATAGACCCAGCCCGCCCGTTGCCTCTCAGGCTGGGGGCGGCAGAGCTGCAGCCCGGCTCCGCGGTGACCCTGGACGAGAACACCTACGAGGTCAGCCTGACGAGCGCGGCCGAGCAGAGCACCAAGGCGTGTGGACGGCGATCAACGGAGAGGGAGCATGCTGAGAAATAATTTCCAGGTGTCTAGAAATCGGAGGCTGATAGACCTACCCTGACGCGTCGATTAGCGAATTGGCCGTCTTCGGTTCGCGAGAGGGCGTCGCGGCCGTAATTTTTGCGGGTCCAGGTCCGTCGGTGTCGGTCTTAGGCTGGTTTCACTAAAGGGTGGCTTACTCAAGGGAGGCTTGTTTCCCGCCGAAAACATGTGTCAGACATGTCTAAACATGTAAACAGATATCTTGTAAGCATGTTTCGAACATGTTTCAGGCATTCGTGAGACACGTGTGTAATGCAACGATCGGATTGTTAGGGTGCCCATTGTCATGGCACCCACGAGCTGAGGCGGTCCCGCTCCACGCCGCGGGGGGCACCAGCCACCTCGTGCTGCGCGTCGGGTCCGAGGAGTTCTCCCAGGACCCGGCGGCGCGCAGCAGCCGGCTGCGCTTTTAAGTCGGGCGTGCCCCTCTACAGGAGGGGTATCCAAACAAATCGCAAAACAATCGTCTGGGGACGATGCTTTGACTATGTTTGCGTATGTTTGAATAGTTTGGGATCCTGTTTTATTGCTCGCCCATAATCCACCTGTAGGAGGCCATGCCCGGCGTCAGGCTACGCGTAAGGGTGACCTTTTTTTATCTGCACACCCCCCTCTCGCCGGCCCGCCCGCCGCGGCGCTGCTGAGGTCGCCGGCCCGTGGGCGTGAGGCAATTCGGCTCTTGCGCGGCCCGCTCGGACCTCACTCGCCGCTGGCGCGCTCGCCTGCGGCTGCGACAAAAAAACAGTAAGGGCGACCTTTCGCGGGAGTGGCCTTTAGTGGTGGCCCGCAGGGGTCCCGCCAGCACCGGCCGTCGCGCTCGGATGGCTTGGACTTGAGCCTCCCCCGCGGGCCCCGGCAGCCGCGCGCCCGAGGTCCCTCTCTCAGCGAGGGAAGAACGGTATAAAATAAACTTTCTCGCTGTCGGGGGCGCCTGTCCCTGGGCGGCTGGAAAGTCTATACCCCTACGGTGCCACCGTAAGGGTATAAACTTTCCAGCCGCCCTGGGACAGGCGCCCCCGACAGCGAGAAAGTTTATTTCATACCGCTTTTCGCCCGTTAACTCTCTTTGCCCAGGGTCGCGCTCGCGTGCGGCCGAAGCAGGGGTCGCAGGAGGGAGGCGGCGCGGATATGTCTTGGAGCGGAGCGCGCGCCACCGAGGGGCCGGGGGGGTCCCACGCCGAGGCGAGGAGTCCGCGCACGGAGCTCCGAGCGTGCACGTTGGCAGTCAGCGCGCGCAGTTAGCGACGAGCAGCTGTCCAAGGCTGCCCCTGCATCCTTCCCCTTCGGCCCCGCTCGCAGAGTGTCGACCATGGCCTTCCAAGGCTTTTGCACCCTTAAGTCGGGGCCCTGAAGAAGGAACGCTTTTCGTTGGGAGGGGCTCGGTGTTCCTTGATTGTTTTACAGCTCGGGTTCCCCTTAGTTTTTTGCATGGGAAATCGAAGTTTAACTTATGGAAAAGAGGGGCCTCGTTCCTTATTTCGGGTTCCTTAGGTCAACGCCCCGACTGTACCAAGCGTCCCTATTCTACGGGTTGGCTGTCTGCCATGTTTCGTTCCTCTGACCAAAGGGGGGAAGGCGTTGGGGGGGTGCGGCGCGACGCGGGAGGCAGCCTTCTTCAGAGGGGCATGAGGCCCTGGTCCCGATACGCTCCAGGACTGCCGGGGCTTCCGAGAGCTCCCGTGGTTCCGCACGGGCTGCAGAGACGGAGCGCACCCTGAGCCAACCGCATCACGACGTCATTACCCACCTACTTCTGGACAGGCGGGGGAGCTTGCTGAGGGGGCGGCGGCCCCTTCGGAACGGCCCCTGAGGCCTCTGAGCAGGCCGAATCCGTGCCGATGTATCCCGATCGAGCGGACATTCCGATTCGATTTGGTTTTGCCCGATTTGGCCCTGCTTGGGCAGAAGGTCGCCCCCGTGTTGCCACCTTCATTGTTAAGTCGGCGAATAGGAGGGAGGAGGCGCAGAGGAGGGGGACGAGAAGGACGAGGAAGTGAAGGGGAAGGGGGAGGACAGCGAGAAGAATGGGGGGGGAGGAAGAGGAGGAGGAATGAGGACGGAGGAGGAGGGACGAGGAGGAGGAGGAGAAAGGGAAGAGGAGGGAGGAGGGAAGAGGAGGAGGGAGGAGGAGGAGGAGGAGGAAGAGGGAGGAGGGGAAGGAGAAGGGAGGAGGAGGAGGGAAGAGGAGGGAGGAGGAGGGTCTTGTAGGATCAGAAGGCACAGGAGGACCCTCCCCCACGAAAGCCCCGTCTCTTACCGCGCGCCGGCTGCGGGCAGGAGCTCCTCGTCAAGCCAGTGGGCTGGGTCGGCTTCGACGACATGAAGATGGCGGACGGCGAGCAGCGGCACCCAGGGGCAACGTCAGGGGGTGCGCGCGGGGGTCGGGGGCTCGAAGCTTGAGATTTCCAGACGCCTTCGTGGGTTCCCTGCGGTTTTCCAGCCTCGGGGTGCATTCCAGCAACCGCGCCTCGCCGAGAGCGTTCGGGGGGTGCCCGGATCGTCCCGAACGGGCACCGGAGACTGCAGCTATGGCCCGAAAGCCGGAGGACGAGGAGTGGGAAACGGGCCCCAGGGGCAACGTCGGGGGCGCTCGGAGGGGGACACATGGACCCCCGATCGCTCACTGATCGCCGACAGTCGAAGAACAAAGAACGACATCAACATCAACTTTTGGCGCTGCGCGAGGCTTTCTTGGATCCGCGCTGGCCCCCCCAGCGGCGCCTCTGGCGCCGCTCCTTGCGCGCTCCGCGCCAGGGTGGGGGGTCCAACGCAGATCAAGAAATCCGCGCGGAACGCCGGAAGTTTACACCTTGCTCATTTCAAATTCTTCGGAGGTTCTTTGATTCTCAGAGTGGCCAGGATCCTTTCGTTCCTAGTTGCTCTATCCTGGGCCTCTCCCTGGCCACTAGGGGGCCGGGAACGATAAGAGACGAGCACACTTAGAAGTGAGCACGCTTAGAAATGAACGACGTGTCTCTTTAAGCCGTTCTCTCTTCTTCTGGATCGGCCCGGGGGGGGGCGCACCGACCCGCCATCGCTCACTGATGGCCGACAGCGGGGCCGGGTCGCCCACCCCGCTCGGGAGCGTGCGGGTCCGCTGTCGTCTGCCTTTCGCCGCTCCATCGGGGGAGGAGGAGGAGGAGGAGGAGGAGGAGGAGGAGGAGGAGGAGGAGAGGTTGTGGAGGAGGAGGAGGAGGACGAGGAGGAGGAGAGGAGGAGGAGGAGGAGGAGGAGGGAGGAGGAGGAGGAGGAGAAGGAGGAGGAGGAGGAGGAGGAGGAGGAGGTTGTGGAGGAGGAGGAGGAGGAGGAGGAGGAGGAGGAGTCGGAGGAGGAGGAGGAGGTTGTGGAGGAGGTTGGAGGAGGTTGGAGGAGAAGGAGGAGGAGGAGGAGGGAGGAGGAGGAGGGAGGAGGGAGGCGAGGGAGAGAGGGAGGAGGGAGGAGGGAGGAGGGAGGAGGATCGCCGATTCCAGGTCGACATCCCCCCCCCCCAGAGCCAGTCCCCCCCCCCATTCTCGTGGCAGTCTCAGGCAGGGGAGCGGCGCGCTCCGGTCGGGCATCGGCCTGGTCGCGGCGCCGGCGGCGGCTCTCCTCTGCTGAGCGTGAGCTGCGCCCCGCCCCGCGCGCGGTGGCAGACGCGGGGCGCCGTCGTCTCGCCCTTCATGGTGCGCCTCCAGCTGCGTCTCCTGCGTCCGGCCCGCCCTCCTTCGTCCTCCCCCTCCCTCCCTCTCCTCTCCTCCTCCCCCCGTCCTCCTTCGCCCCACCTGATCTGCCCTCGGCTCCTTTCCGAGCTGCCCCACCCTCCCGCGCCCTCTGCTCCTCTTCAGCATCACCCCTCTCGCACTCATCTTCCCTCCGCTCCTCTCAACATTCCTTCCCCCATCCTCCCCCTCCCTCTCTCTCCTCCCCCTCCTCCTCCTCGTCCTCCTCCTCCTGCTCCTCCTCCTCCTGTAACCTCTTTGACACAGTCGACCTCTCCGTGCGCAACACTACCTCGAGGTTGCGCACCCTCAGACACATAATGAGAAGTGCAACCAAGATCGCCAGGAGTGTGTCATGCAGTGCATCCACCCAGACGCCCTCTAGAACAAGCGCGAGAATTCTAGCCTCAAGGTCCAAGCGCTTACCCTCATCGATCGCCAGAGCTGGCTGGTGTGAGGACGTCAAGCTATCTGGCAAAATGATTGCCGACACGGCTGCTGGTGCCGCTCGTCTTTCTTTTTCCGCAGGCCAGGTCGCTCTCCGTTCGCCAAAGGACTCCGCCACCACGATCGACGAGATCCACGTCACTACCGGCAACGGGCGTCGTGACCGTGCAGCTGTTCGTTCGAGACAGTGGTCTGTGGCTGGCTACCACGATAACGACGACAAGTGTAAGAAGCGCCCCTCGCACGACCGGCGGAAGCGAGCTGTCTGGCAACCCTTCGCGAAGCGGCTCCTCTTTTCGGCACGAATGTCCTTGCCAATACCTCCCACACAATCTCGAGGGAACCGATGGCCGTGCACACTGCCATCCAAGTACACTGGGCCCCATCTTCAAGGAGAAATGAGCCGACGCGAACGCCGTCTCGAGAGACCTTGACCCGATCTATATACCCAGAGAGAGGAGGAGGAGGAGGAGGAGGAGGAGGAGGAGGAGGAGGAGGAGGACGAGGACGAGGGTCGCTTGAGCTGATGGCCAAGCGTGCCGGCGAGACTCCGCGCCTGGGCCCGGCGGCTTGCCCTGCCGTGCCTGGCTGAAGACGAATGGCAGCCTCGAAATCCTCGCGAAGCTCGGCCAGCAGCCCGAAGGGCGCCGGACTGTGCTCTCCTCCTCCTCCCTCCTCCTCCTCCTCCTCCTCCTCCTCCTCCTCCTCCTCCTCCTCCTCCTCCCTCCTCCTCCTCCTCCTCCTCCTCCTCCTCCTCCTCCTCCTCCTCCTCCCTCCTCCTCCTCCTCCTCCTCCTCCTCCTCCTCCTCCTCCTCCTCTCCTCCTCCTCCTCCGGAAGAATTCCATCAGGCACGGCACGGCGATGGTGACAGCGCCAACGTTCCATACGAGCTGAGATTCGCGTTCGTGGGCATGGAGCCAACGGGCGACGAGCCGCTGGGGAATGCCGAGTGCGCTCGCTATCCCGACCTGCTGCGCCCGCTGTGCATGAAGAGCTCTGACCTCAAGGTCCTTGCTGGCTGTGCGAACCGCTCCCCTTTCCAAAGCTGCACAGCAAGTGGCGATGGAACAGCAGGGCTCTGTGGCGGGCAGGCAGTTCCTCAACAGCGTTGCAGATGCCGACGCGGAGGCGAGCAGGATGTCTATGCTTCCCGATGCTGCTGCCAGACGACCGAGTGTTGTGGGTGCGGACATTGCTGCAGCATTTCCGAACCTGATGCACCAGTGGCTGTGGCAACTAATACGACGCAGTGGAGTTCGAGGCCCCATACTCTCCTTCCTGAAAGCGTGCTGCGACTTTCCGCCGATGTTCCTCTAGCTGGGCGGTGAAAGGTGCCCCTACTTATTGCCACCTCTGGCGTGCTCCAAGGATGCCCACTGTCGGGGACCATCTGCGCTATTATCTTCGACCCCGCTGCTGATCATTGAGATGTGTCGCGAGGTTCGCCTACTCCAACGTTGTCTGCTCCGTGACTCCGTGCATGTGCCGACGACCTTGGGGTGATGGCCACGCTCGTTCATCACCTTGTTGGAGTTGAAACAGTAGCGGGCCTGAAACTACAGGCCAAGAGGTGTGCTCGTACCTGTTTGGACCTTGCCGTCGCAACCCCTCATCGACGAGTTCCGCGAGCACTCCCCCATGGGAGGACTTCAACAAGGCCCCCGTGAAACGACTTCAAGATCGAGGCGATGGCGAAGTCCCCCGGGATCTCCATCGGACCCGGCGGATCCCGTGACCTTCAATGGCGCGCTCCCAGTCTAAATTGGTGGGGGCGCTCCCACCTTCTCGGCACGTCGCGCATGCCACTGCAGGCGAGCAGCAAGATCTACAACGCTGCCACGATCACCACCTGGAGTGACATCGGCCAACTCCTTCCGCCGACGAACGAGATGCTGGTGCGTGAGATCTACGCGCTGCACAACATCCTTCGTACTGCCCCTTCCAGCTTCGCCTAGGCAGACATAATTTCTCTTGGTCGCTGGGCGACATTCGCAACGCAGAGCTTCGAAGCTTGTTTGGCGGCCACCATCTGGCGTTCGGCGACTCCCAGCATGCGCGGGTGGCGCGCAGCTCACGCGGATCTGGAGACTCACAGCAATCACCGCCAGCTACCACCATCCAGGCTTTCACCTCCAGCTTTCGACGTCCAGCCTCAAGGGCATGATCTCCAGCTTCACGGGCAATATCTTTATATATATATATATATATATATATATATATGCATATATATATATATATGTATATATATATATACATATATATATATACATATATGCATTGGAATATACCACAAAAGAGCCTAGGAGCAAGACTGAGTAGGACTTCTGCTCAGGCCTCGCGTTCTGACGCTCCGGCGCTCTGGCACCGCAGCCCGCAGCACCCTAGACGGTGCCCATGTGCGGGCGTGTTTCCGTGCTTCCGCGCTTCCACGCGATCGATAGCATTGGCTACGCGAAGAGAAAGGGATCGGTCCACAAGCGCTCGAACGATGGAGCCGCTCGCACTGATCGCTTCCTCGGGCAGGCGCACCGTGTCGCAGCATTGCACGTCGAACGAGCTGCCGACGACCGCGCCCTGGCTCGCGCAGGCCAGGCATGTACCCCACGCCCTGCGACGAGTCCTCGGGGCGCCGGCCTGCGCGTCTTGACCAGCCACTTCTTCCCAGACGGGTTCGAGACCAGGATCCGCGAGAGGTAAGCGATGAATGCATTCGCCCTGGCTCGAAACCCGCGAGGTTCTTCAAGCCCTGCCGCGTTCTCGTGCTTGGCCCGTGCTACAGACAGATGCGAGGAGTTGGACGAGTTCTCTCCGTACGCGCGTGATCCCCGAGCAGAAGACTCGCCGTCTCGGTTGGTCTGGCGCGGACGAGACCATCGAGTACTACATGGACTGCCAGCGTCTCTGGCCCCGGTGGCGCTTCCACGCTGACTGCTCCATGAAGATATGTTTGCTCTGGTCTCGGCGCTGCCCACCAACGCCAAGGGGGGAACTCCAGGACTAACAGCATCGCCAACGTGACGGTGGTGTTCCGCCTCCTCCAATGCTACAAGGACCTCGACATCGACGCCCACGCGTCGCACAGCGCTGCCGTCCGCGCGGCGCGCGGCGCCCTGAGTCTCCGTCCCAGCTTGTCGGGCGGCGCGGAATTGAGGTCAAGCAGGGCGCGATCGCGCCATACAGTCAAGTCGCATGAGACAGATGCGCGGTGAGGGTGTAGGTCCCTAGAGGACCGTGTTGGCGTTTTCGAACCGGGCTGGCGTTTTCGGCCGAAGTTGGCCGAAGAGGCAAGGACGCAAGGACATCTATCATGCGTCTAGACTGTAGCCGACTTCTTACCCTTAGCTTACCATTGCTTGTTTGATAGACGCCACCATTCCCAGTTCCTGTAGACCAAGACGAGCAGACCCAACACGACCACACCAAAAAGGAACACGAATGTCGTTCAGACATGCCCCAAAAAGCATGCCAACGTGCATTTCTCACGCGCGCCCAGCGACCCCTCACGCACGCCGTACGCATCACGCAGGCGTATGTCGGCCTCCCAGAGTCAGAGAAGAATCGAAGTGAGCCCAGCATCGCCCCTCCCCACCGGCCCTTCCTATCGCAGCGTGGTTTTCCCAACCCGCCGACCGGGGGCCAGTCGGACCTGGATTCCTTACATAATACTCCATCGTGCGATGCGAAGTCAGAAGAAGGGAGCTGTACACATTGTTGAAGAGGGCGGAGGAGCAGCAGGAAGAGAAGGAGGAAGGTGAGGAAACGGGAACACGAGGAACGGCAGCATGAATGGGGGTGTAGAAGGATGACTGGGGGAAGGCGCAGATAGGGAAAGGCGGGGGCGGAACCGACGAGGCAGGAGCCGGATCCAGAAATGTGGTTCGCGACAGGGCGAGAACGCCACGCAGAACGATTGGAGCAGAGTGTTGACCCTGACTTGTGGCAAACGCTGCAGCGCGAGCACCACGTCTGCAAGGGCGAGAAAAAGTAATTCCACAAGGCTATACAGTGCCGTTTTTATACATGCTCCGCGTGCGGATCATATATTCGAATACAGGGATTTAGTACTCAAGACAACGATGAGTTCATGCATACATTTATTCATAAAGAAGTCATGCATTACAAATCCTATATTTTCAAAAGTACTATGTAAGTAAACAACTGTATTGAAAGCCGTGTCTCGACAACCTTGCGTGTAAAAGTATGCGGGGCGGGCGTGGCAAGGAGCGCAGCATCCGCAGAGACACAGGAGAGCAGCATTCACATTGGATAGTTGTGGGCTGGGCAGGCGAGGCAGAGAAGCAACCATTTACGCAAACATGAGCTTTCGAAGGTCCGCCCGGATGTCTCGGGTTGCGCTGGACCTACCTCCCCACACTCCTAGCTCTGGCGCCCACCCAGCGCTCGGAGCGCGCCAGTGGAGTTGTGAGAAGAGGTAGTCCACCGACGACCCGAGATATTCGAGCGGGCGACCAGGAGGTCATGCTTATACTGTTGTTTCTAGATTGAGGGTACGGGTGGGGGGTGGACAGGATGAAGTTGATGGGAAGTTCCTACCCACTGCCGTTCTGCCTCCCCCGTGCCTCCTCCCATTGCC